ACCCAACAATAGTCCATTTTAATTTAAATATAATCATGTCTTAATTAACAAAAAACGTTTTAGCAAAAAAAAAAAAATTAACCAAAAACGTTTTTTTGGTAACAGAAAAATATGCCATAATTTAGTGATTTTAAAAACTCACAACTTTTTAAATCTTCAACAAGAACCGAAATTTCCGTCAAAACTAAATCTTTTGATCCAAAATTTGAAGATATAATATGTGTTTTCGGATTCTTAGCAACCAATAATCCATCATCAATATANCCTNTNNANTATTTANGAGATTANCATAATCGANTTTAGCTCCGTAATATTTGCAAAAGATCAAATATTTGAAAAAATATATATATCATTAGATAGTTATGGCTATTAAAGGTTATGGAAATATATACAAAATGGGTAAAAAATATACTCAATTCAGATATTTATTTTTCTAAAAAGATTTGGAAACACCAAACCCTATTTTCTCTAAACTACATCTCCCTATATATACCTCAAGCTCCGGTATATTTTTTATCCATTAGTTCGATTGTGCTGATTTTTTTTCCATCGTTCATTTGTTATTTTTGTTTGTATGCATAATATATTATATCTGATCAATTTTGTTTTTTTTTGTTTTTGTAGGTGTTCTTAAAGCAAGTTCTTTTGATTTGTGTTATACATGGGGTTTTGTTCTTCAACAAGGTATATTTTTTAATTTTATTTTTTTTGCTTTGTAGGTTTCATTATTTTTGTTTGGATAGGTTTAGATATATAAATATTTTTTTTTATCTTTTTTTTTGTTTGAAAGTTATATTTATTTTTATCTTATATAATGATTATGAAATATGTTTTTCTTTCTTTATAACCAAAAAACATACGATTAATTTTAAAATTGATCAACGTGAATATCTAACATATGAGATTTGGTTTTAGAGATTGATCAGAGGCGTGATGTGATATAAAATTGTATCTTTTTCTCCCTCAATTCAAGTGCGTTTTTGCTTATTTTNCTTGTGGAATCGGTNTANTCNGNCNTCGANTCACTATTTNCNAATAAGATAAAANTGTTTCATCTATCACTAAATTTTCGATTTAAAGTAACTAAGTCTTAATTTTATAATAAAGCTTTTCGAAAGGTTTTTAATCTCCTTTTATAATTTTATAAAAATTTTAAACATGATAGGTAA